ATAGAATTCAAGACAGTACTTACTCTAATACTTATATGAAATCAAACACAAGACACTCAAGTATGTCTATTTACATACTGTATCAAAGTTGAGTTGTTCAAACTTATTAACTAGACCAAGGAATTTGAGACTAAAAGCAATGAATACTGAGTGCTTTTAAGACTTCTAATAATGGATTTCAGCTGTTGAGAGTCGAATGACAGGCAACATTATCCGACCTAGGTTTCTTCCTTCTTCTCATTCAACACCAAGATGCGTCTGCAACCATAAGGAAATTAGTATTCCCTCAGTAACTCCAATCTGTATCACTCAGTGCTGAAGGAAGTCAGACACTTTGCCGTTGAACAGAAATGTTTTTTTCGACAAAGTCATTTACTAAGCTGCACTGTCGTGAATATATGTTACAGGGGATAGAACACACTAAAATAATTTACAGTTGGAGGTCAAAATATATTGAATAACGAAAGGAAATTACTTTATACGAATAGGGGTATCATACAAATAAAAAATATAATTACGTCATACAGGATGAATCTTTGACAGTCAAGACTTCATAACGGTCATGGCAAAGACGAAGGCTGAAAGTATCTTATTTGAACACAGCGCTGGTTTGAAATTTTGGATGGCTAGTGCTTTAGCTACACCCAAATGCCTTGATTCCACTCCCTTCGAGTGGTTTGATGAAACCCTGTGAAGATTTTGTATGAGTTCTCAAAAGTAGCTGAGTGGCTCCAGTTCCCGAGTTGTTCCGTTATTGAGCTGAAGATGGATTTCCGTTCTTCCTTTGCTAGCTAGGGTGAGTATTATTCTCCAGCACATCTTACGAGCGGACGCATTGTACGGCCAATGTACTCAGCTTAGCAGGAGCAAGTACTCTGGTGCATACATTGATGTGACCCTAGGCGTCAGCTTGTCTTTCACAGATTGACCCAAAAGTTCCTTTCAAGAGAAAATTATTTTAAGGTTGTCGATGTAATATGTTCTTGACATTCGTGTTTTGATGTCTGCAGCAATGTCGTTTTCGAATTCAAGGTTTAGTAAAACAATCCTTTTTCGGCGCTAAATGTGTTCTTCCAGCTGTTCTAGATGGTAAACTGTCTCTTGCTAGAGTTCTTTTAAGATTTTTCAGTTCTGCAACAACCGTGTCTTCTGTACACATTTTTCTGATCCTCGAAGATAGTGAATGAATGGGATTTCTCTTCATCCTTAGAAGGATTGAACTTCGAAAATTAATAAAGTGTCCGTTCTACATACGCTTCCTGTAAGTGTATCTACTAAGTGAATTACCATCTTTTCTTTGAAGTTAAAGCTCAAGAAAATAGAACGTTGAGTATGATTCTGATGTAGGGAAAATTTGATTGGAGGGTCGACATTGTTGAAAGTACTAAACATGTTTGCAAGATTCACAGTTCTACTACAAACTATGAAGGTATCATCAACGTACACATAAAGCTCACCTACTCTTCTCAAGGTTTGCCCTAAAACAGCCAGTTAAGAGGGGTATTAGTGGAGTACACACTGCTACACCGTCTATCTCTACGTAGACTTCATTATTAAATTTGAAGTATACATTAAAGGTACATCGAAGAAGCTCTTTTATTTGGTGGTTTGGAACATCGACATCTATATTATAAAGTTGAATGAAGCCACATAAGAAGCAAACAGCTTCTGTCAGTTGAACATTAGTTAAGAACAACAGAATATTCAACGAAATCATTATTTTACCTGTCACAGTGAAATTCTCAATTGAATGAACAAAATCAAATGCTTCACGGACGTTATGGTTCGGCAGCCTCTTCTTTACAGGTCCAAGTATTTCTAAAAGCCACTTCGCAATTAAATGAAGTGGAGAGTATATCATATCTAGTATTGGACAGAATGGGATAGCTTCTTTGTGTATTTTAGGAAGACTGTATAAACGGGGGATCGTAAAACCTAATGGAGGAAGTTGTCCGTATAGTTTCTCGCTCATGAATGATTCATCCCTGAATCTCTGTTTGCTCAGTAGGATCTTTCTATGTTGTCTATTTTAAGGAACTATTTTCGCCGGATAGAATAAACGAAAGTTTTTCCATATAGTCTGATTTATTAGTAATATTATTCTAGAGCTTTTTTCTGGGTGTAACATAACTAAATCTCGCTTTCCTTTAGTTCATTCAGTTGATTTCAACGTTCTTTTGACAAAAAATGTCAAAAATAATTTTCTATCGACAAAGTCTTGTAGTCTCACACACTACTCCAGAATCAATAGCCTAGGGTTCGACAAGATTCAACATTGATGCTGACCTTCATAGTATTATCGGACTCGCTAAGCTGAAGGCACACGGTGTGCTATCGTGTTACGTTGCACTACTTGTAATCGACCCTGTGGTCAGTTAGTTGTAACGCATCGGTATCTTGGCATAACCTCACAAATATACTGTTGTATCCGACTGCGCTATTGTGTTCTTTCTTAGTCTTGTATTCGCGGATATATAACAAGTTTGAATAATTAGTGATTGGCCTCTGGGTTTGTCAGGTTCGCATCAGAACAATCCTTAAAGTCTAAAAAGCAATTAAAACTACCTATTTGAAATGGCTTGAATCATCACATGAGGCTGGAACTAGATCTTTTGTGGTGAAATGATTTCATTGCCAAATGTATAGCTGAAAGTTTAGTATTATCTTAAATACTTATATTTTTTCTTCAAAAGATTTGATTGATTTCAGAAAGACATTGGGTAATGATTCGCTATGTCGTGAACTGACAGAAGTAAAAAATATGGACCAAGGGATTCCAATTCAGTGGTTCAATAGTAACGTGCTGGTCACGTAAACCTAAAAGTCCTGGGTTCTATCCCTAGGGGTGCAGGGTCGTAGGTGTACACTACTGAGGAATACCATACTACTACAAAACAGCTGTCCAGTGCTCCGAAGTTTACAGTATTCCTCTAACTGATATTACTTCATGATGAATACCAACTTGAATCCACTAAATCCCTACAAACCCTATAATTGAAACCACTTTCTATTGGGAACAAACTTACCCCAGAACTATTGGACATCAGATAAGCATCATCATTTCAAGCAAGATACATAAAGGAATCATTTTCGAAAACAACCCTCAACTTAATTTCAGAGTGAACACTTGAGGATAACATTTTTTCAGCTTGATAAAACCAAACTTAACGGGTACCTATGAGTAACTCGTCTTCTGTCTAAATCAGACTATATAGAAACTATTGATTTCCTTACAGAAGTTCACAAGTATTTCATTCAACGACGGTCACTAATCAACATACACTGGTTGCCCTTAAGTGTTTCACCAGATGAGCGATGTTATATCTGATGGATTAAAACTTTTACAAAAAGAAATTGACCAGAGAATTCAAAACTATCGGTAAGTCACCAAGTTATCACTTCAGGGTATCAAAACTGTAGCAAACACTGAAGACACCTCAGTGAACACTGACTATGCTACTGACTGACTAGAGAAGTTCTAGGCCACTCGCATCGATCAGTAGTACTGGTTAGCTAGGTCAAGGTTGCTCCGCTTGTTTCAGACCAAGCTTATCAATGGTATGCCCGAATTGATTCAGTTCAGTTAGCCAAGTTGTTCAAACCACCTGAATCGTGGCTACCTACTTGAACGCACTGGTCGTATCTGGAATCAAATTACTTGTATCAGTCACAGTAGTATACTACGTGCACGTCTATGCTGGCAATATCCACACCAGCTGTGGTGCCAAACAGATCATATTAGGTGATTTAAATATATTTGGTTTCAAAGGTGAGATTTCTTTTAATCCCTCACTATTCACTGGTCGTATACCCATTGCGTATACACTTCCGATGGCAGTCCTTAACTACCTTAAAAACCAAAATAAAATTTAAAATAGCATCAGTGTATGGTGCTCATTAGTGGCATGCCTCAAGATGGATGTCGCGATGTTCTGATGAGAAGCCATGACCTCTGGGGTCAACCAGTCGGAAGCGAAGTGGATGCCAACTGGTAAACATGGTGGACAGTCGTGCCACATTGCGAGTTGATAAAAGTTTGAAAACGTGAACCATTAGACTTTCCTCCCAGTGGCTGAGTCCCTAACGCGTTAGCCATGAAACCTGAAATTCTGGAGTTGGATCTGTAGCGGGATCGTGAAGTAGGTACTACGGAGAAGTCACATACTAGGATGAGTCAGCTGTCCAGTGTTTCCAGGTTTTCGATGGTTCTTCAACTGGTGTCAGTCAGTCCATGAATACTACCTTAAAAATAGAAACAAAATCCCCACAAACTTCAAATTAGTTTCGGGATATTTAAATTAAAGGAGCTAATTTACCAATCCTTATCAAAATATTTTAACTCATGATAACTTAAGACTTTACTGCCTTCAGACTTCTTTTATTAAAAAAATTTCATTTTAGCAAATTTAACCAGTCATTACTAATTATCGATATACTTGTTATTCTCCGTTGTTTTATTGGATTGAATTGTTCGACCTTTATTGGCATACGGGCTCCTATGCAGATACCTCGATATTGGCTGCATTTTAATTATGATAATTCTCTTGTTTGTGGCTAGCAAAGAATCCAAGACGCGCGTTCCGTCCTACTAGGGACTCATTAGCTGGAATCACCTGAACCCCAGTGAGTGGATAACGCATTGGCGTTTGAAGCGATGGGCTCGAGTCTCGAGTCTCAGTGGGAATAAAATCACTCACTGGAGTGCAGGCACATCCAGCTGACGAGTCCCAAACAAGATGAGACGCTCGTTCTGGATTCTTCTGCTAGCCACAATCAAGCGACTTATAATAATTTAACCAATTATTTAAAACAACAAGAAAATTAACCAATCAGAAGAAAATATTTGTTAAACAGTAGACGGTTATTAGTAAAATAATGACAGGGAAAATATGCAATATATCATTGTATAAAACATTTGTAAAATATTTGTAAAACTGTAGATAGGCTAGGGAGAGTGTGTGTATGTGGATTAGACATATGAAAGAGCGGGAACTGATTAGATTTAAGATCCTTCCCCACTACATTACACTCTACACAGCATTCAGTGAACTGGACAGTATCAAACTAGCATTCATGTCACATATTCACATGTTGAATTGCCTTATCATTTCTTCTAACTAATAAACACATACATAAACACAGTTGTTCATACTAATGTATATACGCCTCTGTACCAGTGAAAGAGAATATCGTTAAATTTATGATGAATGTACACACATGCAATAATCATTTACTCATATTGAGCCGATAGACTGTGAAGGTGGTTCCTATCCTTATAAGCCGATTCTCTCGTAATTGTTTAATATTACCAAGTAGAATTCTTTGTTATTTAAACTCCACGAGTAAATATAGTTCTAAAACTAAACTTTATTTCACAGATCAAGAAAGATTACAAGATTTTGGATGTGTATATATATATATATGTGAACACATAACGAAATGACGGCATACACATATATCAGTGTGATAAACATACATTCGCTCAGTGACACACATTCAAATATGCGCTAAAACTGATAGTACGAGAATTTTTTGAACAGTGAAAAATGTTTTCTTCTATTGTCATTTGTTTTATCCTATCTTACCCGCTTCATTTAATTTTTGATAACATTGTTAAATCTTATTGAAATTAACTAAATAAACTGGGATACAGGAATTCAAATGCTTTTGAAAGGACTTATTTAAACGGTAAAATAATCATTAAGCAACACTATAGAATATTATGTCATTGAAAAGTTATCCAAACATAAAATTTCTAGTGAAATGACTTCAAATTCTTTACATTTATCCTTACTATCACCATCGTCATCATCATCATCATCATTAGCTGAGAATGGGATGATAACTACTACGCATAACTTCGGGATGCATAAAAGACGTCAACATTGTCAAGGACAACAATCTTTGAATGGAATATTATTTTTAATTATACTCATATACACACTGACAATTGACAGTACTAATGCATTTGGAAATATGGGTTATTGGTGGTAAGTACCATAATGAAAGTATTATATGTGTATTTATAAGGATGGCAATGAGTAGAGCAGATTGCTTTATTTCTGAAACTTCTTAAAACACTAAACTTTTTAATGATATGAAGTTACATTTAATAATTTATGATAAATTCATAATTCTCATTTTGACATCAGAAACCAGATATTCAGCGAAGAGGACCCTTTTCAACAAATTTATTCTCAAGCTGTACATTCCTTATATATATATATATATATATATATATATATATATACGTAATTTGAATAATCTGGCAACTAACCAAGGAAGCAGGAACCTATCACTCACCAAATATGCAGAAGGAAGTGGAGATGGATTGGGTATACACTGAGAAGGACGACTGGGGACATCACGAGTCAGGTCAGGCCCTCGAGTGGAATCCTCATGGGAAGTGACGAGTTGGGCGTCGGTGCCAAGGGTGACATGGAGGAGATTGTGCGAGGAGGAAATGAGAGGTTGTGGGCTGTCGTGCAGCCGGGTTCAAAAGATTTCAGAGAACAGAGCGCATTGGAGACGTGCTACTGAAGCCTTATGTTCCATTAGGAACCCAAGCGACAAATAATAATAATTTGAATAATGGTGGTTATAATAATAATGTTGCTAGTTGATGACATAGTGGTTGAGTGATAACTAAAACGGGTTACGTAAGATATTTTAGAGCCATTTACAAGGTGTATATAGATTACAAAGGAATGAAAAAGTGGTCTAGTTAATTAATAACCAAAGAATTTGGCAATATGAATGAGTTGCATACTAGATTTGTTCATTCGATTTATACAACACAGAGAAACAGTATTGTTTACTTGATGACGTTTCAAGCATAAATTATTCTTCATAATCACATCATTGTCATCACAAGACTTTCAACAATCGACTTTTATAGTTCTGTCACCTCATATTCTTTGTTTCTATTGGTAATAAAATTGTTCATATCTCTGGTATAGATGTTGCGTCATTTCTATTACATGTGTTGGCTGGGTGTTGATTCGATGAGTAAAGATTCAGGGATCCATCTCTCTCTCACTCTCTCTCCACCTAATTATATTGGACTCAAGTAAAGTGACTTTATCCCACCCAGGCTATTGTGTGGTTGTGTGTTAATGCAGGCATTGCAATAGCCGAGTTCTTCTTCTAGATTATTAATCTAATTCGGGTCTGTCGTTCTATATTTAGCTAAATTCCCATGTTTTGCTATTCTAACTCACCCTGATCAGCTACTTTGACCTACCTACTCGACTCCACAGTCATTATATGGGATTTCATAGTTTAGATTATTTTGCTTAATGTGTTCTGTCGAATCCTCAAGCCAGCCAACAAAGTTTATCTCTGAGTGAGTTTGTAGGTTTGAATGCACCCTAATTCCAGCTTTGTTGAGAATTGCACGTAGTTTCTGATATACCTTCCTTATACGGTAACACAATGGAGGCTATGAAATCCTTTCTACTTATGTTGTCGTTATTATTCGAACTCGTGTTACTGTTATCATATCGCTACTTATGTATTCCTATGAATTCTTTTATAAATGGTAGAGGATAATTGTTAACTGTAAGTGCTTCTTGTATGTGTGTTCAGTTTCTTGTTTAGGTCGTTGCACTAAATAGTTAGTTTCCCAGCTCTATCATTCAGACATTTCGCTAAATGTGCCTTAAGTGACATAAAATGAGGAAACCTGACAGGTATCCAGACTTCAGGACCTCAGCATCCTACATATATATATATATATATATATATATATATATATATATACCTCCGACAAAAGCCGAAGTCCTGAACGCCGTAACGTTACTAAAAGTCGAGAAAGCAGCAGGACCAGATGGAATCCCTCAAGAAGCACTGAAATCAGAAACACAGACATCAGCAACGGACACGCTCACACCACACAACTCTTTCAGAAGGATTGGAAGGAAGGAAGAAGGGAGGAAGGAAGGAAAGGTACCTGCGCATTGATTAGTAGAAGGGCTGCCGCGTCAAACTTCCAAACAAGGAAGAACTAAGTCATTGCGAGAACTGGCACGGAATCATGCTCCTGTCAACACCATGCAAAATATTATGCCGCACCATCCCGGAGAGATTAAACAATGCTCTGGATTCGAAGTTGTCACCGGAACAGGCTGGCTGGATGGCTGGCTGGATGGATGGATGGATGGTGTCTCGAAGGACAAATCATGTGACCATCAAATCACATCATGTCGCTACGCATCATCATAGAAGGGAACATAGAATGACAGTCAACTCCCTACCTTACTTCAACTTCATCGATTTTGAAAAGGCCTTCGGTCGAAGCGTCGACCGAGAAGTAATTTGGCAGGCAGCTGATTCAACACTACGCTTTCAGTGCCACAAACCATTATCAAACCCATTCAACAGCCATGTGCCACATGCTATATGCCGAGTGATTCACAATGGAAAGCTCAGCTCAGTAACGCCTCTGAAGTGAAGTGAAGACAGGAGTAAGACAAGGCTACCGCCTACTATCACCAATGATCTTGCTGACTGTGGTCGACTGGACTGGATCATGCAACCGACAACTGTGAGGAGTGAGAAGATGGGCATACGCTGTTTGACTGATGAAAAGACCTCAGAGGAAGATTTGGATCTCGCCCATGATGATGATGATGATGATGATGATGATGATGATGATGATGATGATTTATGTCTAATGTCTTGTCGTACAAACTCGAAGATGTACAGGTGGAAACCAACAAGTTGGCAGAAGAGTGGAGGCGTGGAAGTGAGACGGGACTGACTTCAGTTGAATATAGAGAAGAGGGAGGAGATGAAGATACCAACCAACAACAGCACCAACAAAAGGCACCAATCACCATGAATGGGAGAAATCTGGAGGAAGTAGTCTCTTCCACTCACCTACCTACATAGGCAAGGCGGCATCGTTCCAACTACTGACAGTGGCGACACAGATGAGGATGTGAAAGCAAGGGTAGGAAAGACAGCAAGATAGGTCTCCCTCAATTACCTGAAATCAGTGTGGAGATCCACCACACTCCACTCAGCATGAAGCGTGAACAACATCCAGATTTTCAACACTAATGTCAGTCAAGTCAGTGCTTCGATATTATAGTTGAGACACATGGCGACGCGTAGCGAAAAACACTTGCAACAAACTACAGACACTCATCAACAGCTGCTGCCTACACTCACTCACTCGATACTGAAGATCAGGTGGCCAGAATAATGAGAATAAGCAACAAGCAACTTTGTCAGTGAACCAACCATAAACCTATCACCCAACAAATATGAGAAAGAAGGAAGTTGAGGTTGATTGGACATACACTGAGAAGGTCATTTGGGGACATCACTCACCAGGCCAGACCGTCGAGTGGAATCCAAAGGGGGAACGACGAGTTGGGCTTCCGAGTTGAGGGTGAGATTGCGGAGATGATGTGAGGAAGAGATGAGAGTTTGTGGGCTGTCATTGGTGGAGTCAGTCTGAAGAGTCTGCAGAGAAGAGAGTGGAATGGAGACGTGGAAGTGAAGCTGTGTGTTCCACTAGGACCCGAAGGGACAAATAATTGTAATAATCTGACTAGCAAAATCTACAGATCAACCTGGGTGATTGTTGTTCAGTAGTATATTTAGTTTTTAAATATACTTTTTATGAAATATGGCCTCACGGTAATTGATAAAGCATATTATCCTGGGTCAGAAGAGTGTTAACCTTTCAAAAAATTATCACACTAAGATTTGGTTGTGTAAATTCTCATAACCTGATGTATTTAAAAAATATAGTGACTTGTAAAATTCAAACCCAAGTGATTCTTAGTATTCAATCTGGAGATTTGTGAAGATTTATTAATCAGTTTCAGGTAGGAATTTGTCATAACTGACATCAGTTGGAGGAATACTGAGAACCTAGGATCACTGGACAGCTGTTTCATCTTAGTATGGGTCTCCTCAGTAATGTGCACCCATCACGCCGCACTACTTGGGATCAGACCCGGAAACTTCGGTTCCGTAGCCTGCACGTTACCATTTAGCCATTGGGTAGGAATCCAGTTATCCATACTTCCAACTCTATCAGTTTACGATACAGTGCGACCTCCATCTAATGTTGTCGTTCATTGGATCCCAACCCAGTGGCTCAACGGTAATGTGCTGACCGGAAACCTGAAGGTCTTGGGTTCAGTCACTGTGGGAGGTGGGTGCACACCTCTGGGGAGTCCCATACTAGGATGAAGCTGCCGTCCAGTGCTCTCAGGTTTCCAATGTTCCTGCAACTTATGTCATTCCATGGTGAATTCCAACCTGAAATTAGTAGAATGGTCAATAATTTACAAGAACTGAAGTGCTAATTAGTGACATTCTTCTAATGGATATCCCAAAGTTCTTTTGAGAAACCGTGACCTATGGGGTCATCCTGTCAGAATTGAAGCGGATGCCAACTGAAGGCATAGGTGGACAGTCACGCTGTATCACGAATCGACAGAAGTAGGAAACCATGAACCATTAAACTGCAATCCAGTGGCTGAATGGTTAACGCGTTCACAACGGAACCTGGAGGTCCTGACTTGGATCTGTGGCGGAGTCATGCGGTGTGTACTACCTAACAGTCCCATGTTAGTGTGAGATAGCTGTCAGTATTCCCAGGTTTTCAATAGTTCTGCAACTGATGTCGGTCAGTCTGTGATGAATCCTACCTTAAAAATATCCATCACCTTTGCTTTCTTAAGCTTTCACGTATTTTCTCCTGAGTTTTTACGAGGTAGTGTCATACAACATTTCTGTGTCTGTCGATAATTTAATATCCGATAGGTGAATAAATACAGTGAATCAGTTCATAAAACAGGAACTGTAAAGTGGTTCACTGTAAATGTCCAGAGAAACGATGAATGAGTTTTGGGACAGTACACCTGTAAAGTGGCAACAATAGTTGTAATAATTTTGGTGACTATAAACGGAATTCAGGACATACACTTCATCCTACTTCTAACTCGTCAGCTGGATGTACCTGCACGTC